CCACGGGAAAATACAGGGAGCAGCAGTCAAGATTTTCATCGACGGAGGAGCTAGCCACAGTTTAGTTAATACCGCAACCGCACGAAAACTTCAACTGACACTTAGCCGATGTTTACCTGAGATTGATGCGCGCTTAGTCGACGGCACGCCGCTGGCCATACGGGAGAAGGTGGAGAGAGTAAAAGTTCGCTGCGGGGGAAACTTCGGGTTTACACAGGAAATGCTCGCGACGACACTGGATGGGCACGACATTTTATTGGGACGTGATTGGTTGCGACGTTACAATCCGAGAATCGACTGGACGACGGGCAGCTGCACTGTGCGAAGTAGTGGTAACTGGGTCGAACTACCACGCTGGCAGTCGCCTGAGTCATCGACGGTCCACGTCAACGCCATCACAATGAAACGAGCAGTCGCCGCTGGAGCTGACGTGTATGCAGTAGACATCGCAGTGGTAGAAAAAGATGAGCAGCCGAGTGATTTCCAGAAATTGCTGACAGCGGTACCGCCAGAGCTACAAGAGCTATTGAAACGGTACCCGGGAATTTTCCCCGACGACTTACCGGAAGGACTGCCACCTCAGCGGGCGCACGACCATAGGATAGAGTTAGAGCCGGGGGCACAGCCAACTGTACAGCGCCAGTTCAGACTGACACAGCCGGAGCTCGACGAACTGAGAAAGCAGTTAGATTACCTGTTAGCAAAGCAGTTTATCCGACCGAGCTCGTCGCCGTTCGCCGCACCGATACTATTCACACCAAAAAAAGACGGAGGTTTTCGCATGTGCATCGATTACCGAGCGCTCAACAGGGTTACAATAAAGTCACGATACCCCATTCCCCGCGCCGACGAACTGATCGACCAACTGCGAACAGCACGGGTGTTCTCGAAAATAGATCTACGGGGAGGTTACCACCAAATTAGAGTCGAACCATCGGACTGCGCCAAGACAGCTTTTAGAACTAGGTACGGGTCGTTCGAGTACACCGTGATGCCTTTCGGGCTAACCAACGCACCCGCAACATTCCAGATGACCATGAACGAGGCGTTTAGACCACTTTTAGATAAGTGCGTGATCGTCTACCTCGACGACATTCTCGTCTACAGCCGCGATAAGCAACAGCATTTGGCGGACCTGGAAGCAGTGTTTAAAATTCTCGAGGAGCATCGTTTATTGACTAAGGGGTCTAAGTGCGAGTTTTTTCGGGATAGGTTAGAATTTTTGGGGCACGTTATTTCAGAGGCTGGGGTTGAGATTGACCCGAAGAAGCTGGATACGGTCAAAGCTTGGCACCCCCCGACAAACATCACGGAGCTGCAGAGTTTTTTGGGTTTCGTTAATTATGTCCGTCGATTCGTGCCTGACATGGCCCGCTTAACTGCCCCACTGACGGATCTGCTGCGGAAAGGGGTCGCTTTTACGTGGGGGGAGAAAGAGCATGCTGCCTTCTCTACCCTGAAAACTGTTCTCTGTTCACCACCTGTCCTGCGCATTGCCGACCCACACCGCCCATTCGAAGTCATTACTGACGCAAGCGACATCGCCATCGGAGCCGTACTGTTACAGGATTTCGGGAACGGCCTACAGCCCATCGCATACGAATCACGAAAACTGCACCCACCTGAGAAGAATTACCCGATACACGATCGCGAAATGCTTGCGATCGTGCATGCGTTCAAAGTGTGGCGCTGTTACTTGACCGGCGCAGACGTGACAGTACGGACAGACCACAAATCTCTACAGTACCTCCGCGCACAGCCTCACCTCAACCCACGACAGATTCGATGGCTCGATTTCCTCGAGTCGAATTTTCACTACACGGTCACCTACAAAAAAGGAGCATCAAATATCGCCGATGCACTGACTCGCCCTACTGCCCACATTCACGCGATACTACTCGCCCAGACCAGCCCACTGCTGACAGGCCTATTTACCCACGGATACCAAACCGACCCGTTCTTTACAGGAGGCAACTCGCAGCAGTTCGCAGCAGCACGAGGGATCTATTACGTAAAGGTTGGGACCGACCGCATTTGGGTACCCGGGTATACACTACTACGGGAATTACTGTTACAAGAGGCACACGACGGAGTTACCTCACGACATTTCGGGGTAGAAAAAACACGACAGCAGCTGCAGCGGTATTATTACTGGCCAGAAATGTTGACCGACATCCAACGACACGTAGCATCGTGTCCCACCTGCCAGGTCATGAAATCATCACGGAAGCGGCCGGCAGGACAGTTGCAGCCGATCCCACCCCCAGAGCGTGCTTGGCAGCAGGTGACGATGGACTTCGTCACGGGGTTACCGGCCGGGGCGAGTGGGAACGACGCGATCTTGGTCGCCGTCGATCGACTGACGAAGATGGCACATTTCGCAGCATGCAAGAAATCAATCACAGCCGAAGAAACAGCCCGCCTCTTCATCACCACCGTCGTTCGCCTCCACGGGATACCATCGGCAATCATCAGCGACCGCGACACGAAATTCACCAGCAACTTCTGGCGGAACCTGTGGCAGCAGTTCGGCACACGACTTCAATTCAGTTCATCCTATCACCCCGAAACCGACGGACAGACGGAACGGACAAACCAAACCATGGAGCAGCTGATTCGAGCCACGTGCGACGATCCGAACACGTGGGAACATCAGCTGCCGCTCATCGAGTTCGCGTACAACAACGCACCATCAGCCACGACGCAACAGTCACCGTTTTACCTGAACTACGGACAGGACCCAACAGTACCCATGACCCCACACCCCGACAATCCAGTCCCACGAGCCCAACAGTTCGCCGAGATTTTGCAAGCAGCACGGACCAGGGCAGCAGACGCAATTAAAAAAGCCAACATCATCGCTAAACGAAACGCCGATCGCCACCGTCGACCTGTCACTTACCAGTCAGACGACCTGGTACTACTCGATACCCAGAACCTCCGCCTGCCCATCACTCCAAAACTTCGCCCCCGATATTGTGGGCCATTTCGCATCAGCCACATGATCACTCCCGTCACCGCCCACCTCCTCCTCCCTGCTGACTGGTACGTCAGCCCGTCATTCCACGTCAGCCTACTTCGCCCTTACATACCATCCACGAGCCAACTGCCACGAAATCGCCCAGCCAGCATGACACGTCCCCCAACCGAACCACTAATCACCCCTGAAAAAATCCTCAGCCACCGAGTCCGCAACCCTCGGGGAGCACGACGGATCGAATTCCTAATTCGCTGGAAGGATCGAACGCCCACAGAAGACAACTGGGTCCCCCTGGATAAAATTGAGAACCACCCTGTCTTTACCGAGTATCTGCGAAGCCGAAATTTCCGCGACGTCCATGCGCTCTCGTAAGAGGGGCCTCCTTGGGGAGGGGGGTAGTGTAAGGAAATTCCCTTTTCCTTACTTCGCGTCCCTGCTCAACGCGTACATCACTGTAGCACCTCAGTCAGCACCGTTACCACTCGCGACCATCGCATCATTCATCATCCCGCCCTTTTCGCACATCGCATCCCGACCTCACGGCTCGGCTGGTAACCCGCGCTCCGGGCCTACGCTTCGACACTTTCCCAACCTCAGTCCCAGGCTCATCGCGCGACAACCACAGTCCATTACCGTTACCACTATTGCTTCGCTATATAATCCTTCGCTCATGCCTTCGCTCATTTTGTACTCCTGCTTCGATAGTGCAATTCTCGTTCGTTCACTCAATTGCACTCGTAACAAGTTGCCACATCAAACTTCCACCTGTTAGCAAGCCTAACAACAGACCAGCAAATCAGCTGGAAAATGAGGCCTGGACACCTCAAAGCACACTGAGAATGAGTAGTTCCTGCCTGGCCCCCTGTTGTCATCCACCTGATTGGTTGCCCACTTTGATTCCTAATAATATTCAGCTCTCCTGGTTATTGCTGGGTGTGTGTTACCAGCATGTCCTGACTACAGTAATGGTAATGGGTGTGATAATAACAGGTTTGTTACCAGCCACGACTGATGCACACAGCAGCACCACCAGAACCATTATCTCCAAGCCACAGCTCCATCTTCTATTCGCCAGCTGCTCAAATACTTCTCCAATCCCACACCTGACTGCTGCATCCATCCAAACTACTGCCACAGGCTATCTTTGAGTCGATTCTGAATGCCTCCCACAAACCAAATCCGGCTCCCACAGCAACATCAGTACCAGCAGCTGCTGCCCCAGCACTCCTTCCTGCAACAGCATCAGCAGCAGCCGCAGCTGCTCCCTTTCTCCTGCACATCCAGCTGCTGAAACGATTCCAGATGGGGCTGTAACAGCCCCCTCTCGCTCCTAACTTGAAGTCTCCTGTCCACCACAGCTTCCCAACCTGTTGGGGTGTCACCCTTAGCCTTCTGAGATATTTTCAGTAGCTTTAGTACCGCCCTCCTTTCCGTCATCTAAAGCCGAAGGCTGGCACCTGCAGCACCCCAACTGCTCTGCTCCATAAATACCCCTCCATCCCTGACACACAACTCCTCACTACGACGCCAGGGATTCTTGCAGGCTGTACAATCTCACGACTAAATCTTTCATTGTTGTAGGTCGGCATCTGGGGTCCTCCGAACGCACTCCTTGGCCAGCACATCCAGCATCCTCACCACCATCCCTTCTTCCCCCACCCCACCTCCTTCCCGCACCCACCTCTTCCCCCCTGCCACCCACTCCCTACTACACACCCCTCACTGCGACGCCAGGGACTCCTGCAGGCTGTATAGACTTTTGAGACGTCTCAAAAGACTCCTGCAGCCTGTATAGTCTCACGACCAAATCTTTCATTGTGGGTCGGCATCTGGGGTCCTCCTGCACACATTCTTTTGCCAGAACATCCAACATGCGCACCACCATGCGTTTAGTCGGCTCGGCACAAGCAGTGCTGAGCTCATACTCCTCGATGCGCGGCTCTGCCCACGCAATCAGCCCACTCCCCCAGTCCCCTCTCCCCCATACCCACTCCCCCGGTACCCACTCTCCCACTCCTCGCTACTGCGATGCCAGAGATTCTTGGAGACTGTATAGTCTCACCACCAGATCCTTCATAGTAGGTCGGCATCTGGGGTCCTCCTGAACGCACTCCTTGGCCAGCACATCCAACATGCGCACCACCATGCGTTTAGTGGGCTCGGCGCAAGCAGCGCTGAGCTCGTACTCCTCGATGCGCGGCTCTGCCCACGCGATGAGCCCGTCCGCGCCCTCCCTGTCCGCCACCAGCGCGCCCCTGCGGCCCGTCAGCAGCTCGAATAGCACCACCCCATAGTCAAACGCGTCCTTGGCCATGCCGTCCGGGCCTGGGGGTGGGGGAAACGGGCAGGGCGTGAAGAGCACAGGGAAGGACTGAGGTCAGGTGGTAGGGAAAGGAGAGAGTGTGAGCAACAAGCCTCTCCCCCCGTCAGCAGCTCGAAAAGCACCACCCCGTAGTCAAACGTGTCCTTGGCCATGCCGTCCGGGCCTGGCGGGGGTGGGAGAGGGATGAGAAGGGGTGAGGGCAGGTGGGATGGGATGGAGAGTATGTGAGTGGAAAGCCCCTCCGCCTGATCAGCAGCTCGAATAGCACCACCCTGTTTTCAAACGCGTCCTTGGCCATGCCGCCCGGGCCTGGGAGGGGGCGAAAGGGAAGGGAGGAGCGAAAGAAATAAAAAGCATGGTCACAATGCTAGCGCGCACAGCACTAAAGTACTCATATTGAGCCAGCGAGCGTAACGTACCTTTGAGGTTCTTGCGTGTGCTGGTCTTGGACAGCATGGCTGCAAGGCCGTAGCCCGTCAGTGTCCAGCAGTTTGTGAGTCGAGTCAAAAGCAGCGAGAGAGTGAATCAAATAAATACCTTTGAGGTTCTTGCGTGTGCTGGTCTTGGACAGCATGGTTAGCATACAGTGTTCCGTCACTATCCGTCAGTCAGTCAGACGGCCCAGAAGCAGTGAGTGGGAATCCAGCAGCATCAGCACGATAAGTACCTTTGAGGTTCTTGCGAGTGCTTGTCTTGGACAGCATGGTCGCCAAACCATAGCCAGTCAACAGCACCGTAAAGTTCTGCCAAAAAAACAAAAAAAAACAAAAAAAAACAAAAAAAAAAAAGACACAGGGAAGAAAGTTCAAGAGGATGGGGAAGAACTTAAAACTCCTGTCTCACAAGACATCATAGCACGTCAGCGCACTGTGAAGCTCTGGTGGGCAACGTGAAGGGAAAAACCCACCGAACATTCACCCAGCCACAGCCAACCTCACGAACTTTCACTGAACTCTCACCGAGCCACAGGAAACCCTAGGAAGTTTCATAGAACTCTCACCTTATCCAGCATGATGTTTCTCGACAGCAAGTTGCCTTGGACCACTGCGCCCGGGACATCGGAAAAGCCCCCTGTATACACTAGCGAACTTTCGCTGAACTCTCACTCTCTATCTTATTATGAACTCTCACTGAACCCTCACCTTATCCAGCATGATGTTTCTCGACAGCAGGTTCCCATGCACCACTGCACTCGAGTGCAGGAAGGTCAGCCCCTTGGCGATCCCCACTGCCACCTTGAGGCGTACTCTCAGCGGCAAAAACTCTCCCTCTCCATCCTCTGATGCAAGGGGTGAAGTGGGGTGAGATGAGATTGAAAAAGGTACAGGAAGGTCAGCCCCTTGGCGATCCCCACTGCCACCTTGAGGCGCACTCTCAGCGGCAGGAACTCCCCTTCCGCATCCTCTGATGTAAGGGGAAAGGGAATTATGGTAGTGAAGAAAGAGGAGAGATGAGGGGAAGTCTGGAAGGAAACTGGTAGTTTTTCGAGGCACCTGCATTTCAACTTCAAATCGTACACTACTATATGCACAATCTGCACTTGTTAAATCTTATCGAATCTCTTTCTGAAGGTGCAAGTTGTGCACAGCACAACATACCTGGGAAGAGGTAGTTCTCAAGACACGTGCAGTTTGGAGGGAGGTCGTAGGCGATCTGCATATCCTCCTTGTCATATATAATCAAATCACTCCTTAAAGGGGAATATTCTCTCAGCATACCTGGAAAGAGGTAGTTCTCGAGGCACGTGCAGTTGGGAGGGAGGTCATAGGCGATTTGCATGTCCTCCTTGTCCGCTGCATATCCCAGTATGGCTGCCAGATTTGTGTGCTGCAGCTTCGCCAGTGCAGCCATCTCCTTTTGCTGCAGCGATAGAAAGAGCAAACAAGCAGTGAGAGCAAAGGGGGAGAGTGAGTAGAAGGCGGGGGGGGGAGATGGGGGAACAAGAATAAGAGCGATCTGCATGTCCTCCTTGTCCGCTGCATATCCCAGGATGGCTGCCAGATTCGTGTGCTGCAGCTTTGCCAATGCTGCCATCTCCTTTTGCTGCAGCACACGGAAGGTAAACAAGTGTTCAGAGGAGAGGGGGTTGGTGTGGGGTTGGGAAATGCAGAGGAGCAGAAACAAGGGTGATCTGCATGTCCTCCTTGTCCGCTGCATATCCCAGGATGGCTGCCAGATTCGTGTGCTGCAGCTTCGCCAGTGCCGCCATCTCTTTTTGCTGCAGCGAGCAAGGGGAGGGGAGGAACGAAAGGTGGGCACATCACAGGCGAGCAAGTGTTCGTAGCCCAGGGAAGATCTAAGTGTGGAGGGAAGAGGGACGGGGGCTTTTGAGTCGACTCAAAAGTCACCTCGGAACGAAAGGTGGGCGCATCACAGGTGAGCAAGTGTTCGGAGCCCAGGGAAGAGCTAAGTGTGAGGCGAAGGGGGGCGCGTGGAGGGGGAAAGGGGGGTGTGTAGATCGGGGAACAGACAGAGCTGTCCGTTATCTGCCTGTTGGCCTTGTCTATTTTTGAGTCGACTCAAAAACCGACTTACTAAAGAGCTATCTGTTATCTGCCTGTTCGCCTTGTCTGCTACCCATGGCACCCCCCTCATAATGAGGTGACTTTTGAGTCGACTCAAGAGTCACCTCTGTCACCTGCCTGTTCGCCTTATCTGCTCACCATGGGATGCCCCTCATCATGTGAACCCCCTCACATTCCCCCCCACAGAAATCAAAGCAGCAGCACTCACCATCTTCCCCTTCCGCCCGAGCCCATACATGCGCCCTCTGCTCGACTCCGCCTGTGCTGCCACCGGCACAGACCCACCCGCACCCCCTTGCGAAACCATAGAGTTTGTTCTCGCATGCACATGTGCATTCGCATGTGCCGCTGCCGCCCCTGCCCCTCCAGCCGCTGCTGCCGCACCAGGCACATCAGCGGATTTCGACTTGGGAATCGTGGACATGTAGGGAGGAAGAGTGGAGGGCTGGGGTGATTGGGCGAAGTGGGAGGTGTGGTGGTGCTGGGGTGGTAGCTGCTGCTGGGATAGCTGCTGCGACTGTTGCGCCTGCTGTTGCTGCTTGTCTTGTTGCGTCTGACTGAGCCGGTGCCTCGACGGCTGGTGCTCCTGGGAGTAATAAGCAGAATTAACCGTTTTCGATGTGGGTAACCTTGGAGATAGCATATCAAACCCTCCCCCTCCCCCTCCCCCTCCGCCTCCTCCCCCTCCGCCCCCTCCTCCTCCCCCGCCGAAACCATCGTTCCCACCGCCATACCCCCCCATCCCCTCCTCCTCCTCTAACAAATCGGTAATCTCCTGCATAGACGCGTCACTTAGGCTCCTCGCAGGGGCCCGCCTAGGCCGCCAAAACTCTTTGTTAAACACTTTCATCCCGCCGCTGCCGCCACCGCCAGCGGCAGCGGCGCGGGGAGAGTAGGAGGGTTCGGGGGTGGTGGGTAGAAGGGGCGACATAGGCGGAGTGAGATGCTGGTTGTCTCGCCAGGAGCCCCGGCTGCCAGGCTTGGGGGGAAGAATTCGTTGCATTGATGGGTTGGGGCGCGTGTTGATGGGCGGCGGGGAGGAGACTGATGCTGCTGCAGTGGAGAAGAGGGGGAGGGGGAGGGGAAAGGGGAAGGGGAATGGGAAAAAGCAAGAACACAAGAGAAGGAATGGGAAGAGAGGCGGGTGAGTGAGATAGAGGAGGGAGCGGCGACATAGGCGGAGTGAGGTGCTGGTTGTCCCGCCAGGAGCCCCGGCTGCCAGGCTTGGGGGGAAGAATTCGCTGCATTGATGGGTTGGGGCGCGTGTTGATGGGTGGGGGGGAGGAGACAGATGCTGCTGCAGTGGGAATGGGGGGGAAAGGGGAGAGGGGAGTGGGAGTGAGATAGAGGCGGGAGGGGCGCCTTGGGGGGAAGGATTCGTTGCGTTGATGGGTTGGGGCGAGTGTTGATCGGTGGGGGAGACGACACTGATGCTGCTGCAAGGGGGGGAGTGGGAGCGGGAAAGGGGAGGGGGAAGGGGGGTGTGGATGGAGGAGGGGTGAAGGAGAGAAGAGGAGAGAGGATGTGGGAAACAGAGAGATGTGGGAAACAGAGAGATGTGGGAAACAGAGAGATGTGGGAAACAGAGAGATGTGGGAAACAGAGAGATGTGGGAAACAGAGAGATGTGGCAGATTGTGCAGGTTAATGGGGAGGGGGTGGGAGGAAGGGGGCGAGGAGGAGAGGGAAGACTGAGCTCTGTAAGTCCTTGGGCTGCCGCTGCACACACGTGCCTGCTAGGTCACCCGGCTCACAGCACTGGACGGCACGGCACCACACAGCACTGCATTCCACCGAAATGCACCGCACTGAACCGCTACGAACACACCTGCAGCTGCCTGGCGAATGACCTTGAGCCGCCTCACCACCTCCTGCATGCTGGGTCTGTCCTTGGGCTGCCGTTGCACACACATGGCTGCCAGGCTGGCGAATGCCTGCATGGGCTGCTGCGGGAAGGCCTGGGCTAGATTGGGGTCGACTACGGCGTCGAGGTTGCCGGCACAGATGGCAGGGGTGGCCTGCTTGTTAGGGAAGGGGAGGAGAGGATCAGATAGAACGGGGAGAACGGGAAAGAGGGGAACGGAGGAAAGAGTGGACGAATTAGGCCTGGGAGGGACACAGATAGGCCACTGCAGAGAATGTCTGAATGGGCTGCTGTGGGAACGCCTGGGCTAGATTGGGGTCGACCACTGCATCTAGATTCCCGGCACAGATGGCAGGGGTCGCCTGAGGAGGGAGGGGAGGGAGAGATGGAGAGTGGAAAGAGAGCGGAGGGGAAGAAAGAGAGGGTGAGAGTTAAACCACGCGAATGCCTGCATGGGCTGCTGGGGGAACGCCTGGGCGAGATTGGGGTCGACCACTGCGTCTAGATTGCCGGCACAGATGGCTGGGGTGGCCTGGGGAAGGAGGGGGGGGATGGAATGGGATGGAGAGAGAAGAGGGAAACTTAGGGGCTGCTGGGGGAACGCCTGGGCTAGATTGGGGTCGACGACAGCTAGATGACTTTTGAGTTGACTCAAAAATCACCTCATTGGGGTCGACGACTGCTAGATTGTTGGCACAGATGGCAGGGGTGGCCTGGGGACAGAGGGAGGGGATGGATTGGAAAGGGAAGCATGAAATGGAGGGAAAAAGAGCGGAATAATCAGGCCTGGGGACACAAAACTAGTGCAATCATGGGCGGGAGGGAGGCTTGTTTTGAAACATATATAACCAGTGCAATCATCCACTCACCCATTTCGCGAGTGCCATTCTCTCTCCGGAATCGTCTGCTTCCTTGAGCACCGGAGGCTTGGCTGTGATGAGCTCTAGCATGACAGGTGCTGAGGCACATAACCAGAGGTATGTATAACTAGTTCAGTTGTCACTCACCCATTTCGCCAGTGCCATTCTCTCCCCCGAATCGTCAGCTTCCTTGAGCACTGGCGGCTTGGCTGTGATGAGCTCTAGCATGACCACTCCGAAACTGAGAGGTATGGGGCAAAGGGGGGATGAGGAAGGGGAGAGAGAAAGGGGGGTGAGGAAAGAGAGAGTACTTAAGGTGCCTCCTTGAGCACTGGAGGCTTGGCTGTGATGAGCTCTAGCATGACCACTCCGAAACTGAGAGGTATGGGGCAAAGGGGGGATGAGGAAGGGGAGAGAGAAAGGGGGATGAGGAAAGAGAGAGTACTTAAGGTGCCTCCTTGAGCACTGGAGGCTTGGATGTGATGAGCTCTAGCATGACCACTCCGAAACTGAGAGGTATGGGGCAAAGGGGGGATGAGGAAGGGGAGAGAGAAAGGGGGGTGAGGAAAGAGAGAGTACTTAAGGTGCCTCCTTGAGCACTGGAGGCTTGGCTGTGATGAGCTCTAGCATGACCACTCCGAAACTGAGAGGTATGGGGCAAAGGGAGGGAGGGAGGGGAAGGGGGGACGATGAGAGAAGTGAGAGTGCTGACGGAGCCTCCTTGAGCACCGGGGGCTAGGCTGTGATGAGCTCTAGCATGACCACCCCGAAGCTGAGAGGCACGAAAGACAGGGAGGGAGGAGGGGAAGAACGAGGGAATATGAGAGAAGTGAGAGTGCTGAAGGTGCCTCCTTGAGCACCGGAGGCTAGGCTGTGATGAGCTCCAGCATGACCACTCCCCACCCCCCACCCTCACCTATACACATCACTCCTTACGGACAGACACCACGCTGGTCTGGCCTTTTGAGAATTCTAAAAAAACTGGTCTGGCAGTACTGCGGGTTCAGATACCCTAGCGAGCCCCCCACCACCCCCTCCCTTCTCAAAAAACTGGTCTGGCAGTACTGCTGGTCCATATGATTTTTTAGGCGCCTCAAAAATAGATACCCTAGCGAGCCCCCCACCACCCTCCATTCTAAAAAAACTGGTCTGGCAGTACTGCTGGTCCAGATGATTTTTAAGGCGCCTCAAAAATAGATACCCTAGCGAGCCCCCCACCACCCCCTCCATTCTCAAAAACTGGTCTGGCAGTACTGCTGGTCCAGATGATTTTTTAGGCGCCTCAAAAATAGATACCCTAGCGAGCCCCCCACCACCCCCTCCATTCTAAAAAAACTGGTCTGGCAGTACTGCTGGTCCAGATGATTTTTTAGGCGCCTCAAAAATAGATACCCTAGCATGCCTCAAAATAAGATACCCTAGCGTGCCCACCACCACCCCCTCCATCCCAAGGGCCCTCCGGTAATCTTTCTTACTTTCCCTCTCCTCTCCAACACAGTTGCTCACCTGTACACATCACTCCACACAGACACCACGCTCGTCTGGCAGTACTGAGGGTCCAGGTACCCGGGCGTGCCCCACTCTTTCTTCCCCCCCCCCCACACCCTCCTTACCTGTACACGTCACTCCACACGGACACCACGCTCGTCTGGCAGTACTGAGGGTCCAGATACCCGGGCGTGCCCCACTCTCCCCCCCCCCCACCCTCCTCACCTGTACACATCACTCCACACAGACACCACGCTCGTCTGGCAGTATTGCGGGTCCAGATACCCGGGCGTGCCCACCACGCGTGTGTGTGTGGTGGCGCTTTCGTCGTCGCCTATCGACTTGAGGTTGCCGTAATCCCCGAGTTTCGGCTGGCAGGGTGGTGGGGGGAAAGATGGGAGGGGATGGAGGAGAAAAAGATTCACTTGAAGTTACTTCAGTCCCGAGTTTACGCTGTGAGAGTGGGGAGAGGATAGAGAGGAGGGATGGGGGAGAGATGGGTGTGCTGCATGTGGGTGGTAGCGTAAGAGAGTGTGCAGTGGACACACTGGCGGAGTTAGATGCTCCCTCACTCACTCTCTCCCTCGTGCGCTCACTCTCTCAATCCCTCACTCATTCTCTCACTCCCTCCCTCTCACTCCCTCTCACTCCCTCTCACTCCCTTTCACTCCCCCATTCACCTGTAGATCATCATCCATGAACACGTTGAGGCTCTTCACATCTCTTTCGCTCACTGTCCCACGCCCTCACTCACCAAGTCCCCTTCGCTCTCTCACCTTTCTCACTCATACTATCCTCTCCCTCGCATACACACACTCCCTCTCACCATCTCACACTCCCTCATTCTCTCCCTCCCTCCCTCCCTCACCTGCAAATCATCATCCATGAACACGTTCAGGCTCTTCACGTCTCGATGCACGAGCACCGGTTTGCACGAGTGCAGATACAGCAGTGCTTCTGCCACCCCCACCGCCGCCTCTATCCGTTGCTCAAACGACAGCACCCCTTTCTCCGTGTCACCTGTATGGAAAAGGGGACAGGGGGGGGAGGGGGAAAGAGGGGAGAGGGTAATATGGGTCTGGGGGTTGGGGGAGGTAGGCTGCATACAGCAGGTAGCACAGAAGCCCACAAGGCCTGAGGGACAGCAGCATGTCTCGATGCACGAGCACAGGCTTGCACGAGTGCAGGTACAGCAGTGCTTCTGCCACCCCCACCGCCGCCTCTATCCGTTGCTCGAATGACAGCACCCCTTTCTCGGTGTCGCCTGGTGTAGGGGAACGGGAAGGAAAAGGAAGGGCGGGCAGCACGGGCTTGCACGAGTGCAGATACAGCAATGCTTCTGCCACCCCCACCGCCTCCTCTATCCGCTGCTCAAATGACAGCAGCCCCTTCTCCGTGTCGCCTGGTAAGGAAAGTGGGAGATGGGGGAGGGGGAGGGGAAGGGAAGGGAGGGTTGGGAAAGAAAGGTGCAATCTACCCGCCCCCACGGCCGCTCCTATCCGCTGCTCAAACGACAGCACCCTTATCTCTGTGTTGCCTGAGGATGGCAGATCAAGACCCCATGAGGCCATAACAAGTATGCTTATAACGGGAATAGCTCACCTTGTAACGGGGATAGATGTTGTCTGAGCGTGCCATTGGCCACATACTCGTACACCAGCACCTGCTCCTTGTTCTCATGGCAAAACCCCATCAGGCAGTAATGTGCATGCTTATAACAGGAATGACTCACCTTGTAACGGGGATAGATGTTGTCTGAGCGTGCCATTGGCTACATACTCGTACACCAACACCTGCTCCTCGTTCTCATGGCAGAACCCCATCAGGTGATAACGAGTGTGCTTATAACGGGAATATATGTTCATAACAAATATCGCTCACCTTGTAACGGGGATAGATGTTGTCTGAGCGTGCCATTGGCCACATACTCGTACACCAGCACCTGCTCCTCGTTCTCATGGCAGAACCCCATCAGGCAGTAACGTGCATGCTTATAACAGGAATGACTCACCTTGTAACGGGGATAAATGTTGTCTGAGCGTGCCATTGGCCACATACTCGTACACCAACACCTGCTCCTCGTTCTCATGGCAGAACCCCATCAGGCGCACCAGGTTCGGGTGAAGCATCTTGGAAACTGCCTCGATCTGAGGGGATGGGAGGTGGAGTCGGGGTGGGAAAATTGGAAGAGGAGGGAGGGGAGTGAATTGGAGAGTATGAGGTAATCTAAATAGAGGGGTGAAGCAATCTAAATACCTTCCCTCCCTCCCATATCTCCACCCCACCCCACCCCCTGATGTGCCACAACCGCCCGCATTTACCCATTACCTTCCCATTGTTACCACGTTACAACCCCGTCTCACCCCCCTGTGATAGTCCTGCAGCTGCGTCAGTCCCCCCTTCTTCCCGCGCTTCACAGCCCAGGCCTCCCCATCCGGCCCCACGCCCTTATACACAATCGCGGAGCCCCCTTCCCTTTTACCTCCCAACCGAGTGAACCCGTCTCACCTCTCTATGATAATCCTGAAGCCGCGTCAGTCCCCCCTTCTTCCCTTGCTTCACAGCCCACAGCTCAGCTCCCCATCCGGCTCCACGCCCTTGTACACAACCGCATTCATCTTCCCTTATCTCTGCCCCACCCATTAGCACCCATTCTCTCACCTCTCTATGATAATCCTGAAGCCGCGTCAGCCCCCCCTTCTTCCCGCGCTTCACCGCCCACAGCTCCCCATCTGGTGACACGCCCTTATACACAACCGCAGAGCCCCCTTCCCCCAGCTGCAGGTCGTCCGACCAGTTCTTGGTGGCCTCTACGAGATCCTCATAGGGGATCTCGTGGGCCGGCTCAGGCTCATCCATGCCTGGGTGTCGTGTGGTGGGGAAGTAGAGGTGGGGACAAGGTTGAGAGGTCGCACGTAGGAGTCCCCCCTTCCCCCAGCTGCAGGTCGTCCGACCAGTTCTTGGTTGCCTCCAGATCCTCATAGGGTATCTCATGAGCTGGCTCAGGCTCGTCCATGCCTGGGTGGTGGGGAAACCGGTGGGGATGGGTTCAGAGAGGTGCCTTATACACAACCGCGGAGCCCCCTTCCCCCAGCTGCAGGTCGTCCGACCAGTTCTTGGTGGCTTCTACGAGGTCCTCATAGGGGATCTCGTGGGCTGGTTCAGGCTCGTCCATGCCTGGGTGGGCGGGGAGAAGGGAGAGGGAGGTTATGAGGAGTCCCCAAGTCCGACGACCAGTTCTTGGTGGCTTCCACGAGGTCCTCATAGGGGATCTCGTGGGCCGGTTCAAGCTCATCCATGCCTGGGTGGGAGGAATGGGGGTTGGGTGGGGTAAGGTTGAGAGAGGTGCCTTATACACAATCGCGGAGCCCCCTTCCCCCACCTGCAGGTCGTCCGACCAGTTCTTTGTTGCTTCCACGAGGTCCTCGCAGGTAATCTCATGGGCTGGTTCTGGTTCATCCATGCCTGCTTGGTTTGTGGTGTAGAAGGGGTGTGTGGGTGTGACTGGTCCCTCAGGATAGATAGAGGGCGAAGCAAGCATAGATAGATCATCCCTGCTAACCTGTTGTGATAGGCCGTAGCCAGTCATACCTGCTGAGTCCAGTGACTCGAGCCTCTTGGCAAACGATCTCTTCAGCAGAGCCTTGCCATCTCTGTTGAGTCAACTCAAAAGTCACCAAGACGTGCGCGCCGCGCAGGCCCATGGTCAGTCATACCTGCTGAGTCCAGTGACTCGAGCCTCTTGACAAACGATCTCTTCAGCAGAGCCTTGTCATCTCTTTTGAGTCAACTCAAAAGTCACCAAGACGTGCGCGCCGCGCAGGCCCATGGTCAGTCATACCTGCTGAGTCCAGTGACTCGAGCCTCTTGGCAAACGATCTCTTCAGCAGAGCCTTGCCATCTCTTTTGAGTCAACTCAAAAGTCACCAAGACGTGCGCGCCGCGCAGGCCCATGGTCAGTCATACCTGCTGAGTCCAGTGACTCGAGCCTCTTGGCAAACGATCTCTTCAGCAGAGCCTTGCCATCTCTTTTGAGTCAACTCAAAAGTCACCGAGACGTGCGCGCCGCGCAGGCCCATGGTCAGTCATACCTGCTGAGTCCAGTGACTCGAGCCTCTTGGCAAACGATCTCTTCAGCAGAGCCTTGCCATCTCTTTTGAGTCAACTCAAAAGTCACCAAGACGTGCGCGCCGCGCAGGCCCATGGTCAGTCATACCTGCTGAGTCCAGTGACTCGAGCCTCTTGGCAAACGACCTCTTCAGCAGTGCCTTGTCATCCCCCCCTCCTCCTCCGCCCAGCGCTCCCCCTGCTCCCCCTCCCGCTCCCCCTCCCCCTGCCCCCCCCGCCCCTCCCGCACCACCCCCTGCCACCGCCCCTGTTCCCCCTCCCGCCGCTCTTTTCCCCCTCCCAATCACCTCTCTCTCCCCCACGCCCGCACTAATCCCCTGGTGCTGTGGCCGGGCGGCCTTAATCTCCAGCTTCCCTCCACCGTCCACCACCCATTGCAACTGCGCCAGCACCCGTTTCTCCGCCTCTATTCTCACATCCGGTACAGTCACACCCATCAGCAGCCCCTTATCCCGCGCTCTCAACCCCGCCAGCCGCGCCGTTGGCGCCCCGATCGAGTGTAGCAGTTTCTTCACTGAAACTTCACTCGGGATATTATCCACCGCCGAAGTCCCGTTCCAAGAGACAAACCACGAGTAATCATTCATGCTGTCGATTCTCACAGCCGACCCCAACGGCTGCTCATCCGCTGCCTTTTCAGCCAAAAACAGCTCCCGAACATCTTCCAACCCATCGTCCCAAAGTATAATCTCATCCCCCACCGCCATAACCACCCGCCCGTGCTTCCTCACAGTCAGCCGAGCATAATACTGCTCCATAGCCATCCCCACCGCCTTCCCCAGCAACGCGTATTGAGCCAGAACCGGAGCGAGCACTATAGCAACCTCATAGAGAGTCCTGTTAGTGGCGTTCCACAGACTCTCCACCTCCTCTACCATGTCTTCTAGGAGGGCTCTGAGCCGCGGGGTGCCGACGCGGTAGGAGGAGACGGGCCAGGCGTTGCCTGGGGGAGGCTCATCTAGGTCGCGCAGGGCCTCCGCGTCCAGCTCGGCGCGCAGGGCGAATGTGCGGAAGGCAAAGAGGGCGAGGCGACGGGGGTCGCCCTGAGGGGGGGTGGGGGAGGAGTGGGGGAGGAGTGGGGGAGGAGTGGGAGAAGGTGGGGAGTGGTGGGGAAGGGAGGGAGGGGCCTCCGCGTCCAGCTCGGCGCGCAGGGCGAATGTGCGGAAGGCAAAGAGGGCGAGATGACGGGGGTCGCCCTGGGGAAGGGGGGCGGAGAGGAGGGGGGGGTCTTGGGGGGAGCAAGGGGGTGTTAGGGGCAAGAGCAGGGCCTCCGCGTCCAGCTCGGCGCGCAGGGCGAATGTGCGGAAGGCAAAGGGAGCCAGTCGGCGGGGATCGCCCTGAGGGGGGGTGGGGGAGGAGTGGGGGAAGGTGGGGAGCGGTGGGGAAGGGAGGGAGGGGCCTCCGCGTCCAGCTCGGCGCGCAGGGCGAATGTACGGAAGGCAAAGAGGGCGAGGCGACGGGGGTCGCCCTGTGGGAGGGGGGGAGTTGAGGGGTGGCGTGAAGGAGGGTGGGAATGGCTGGGAGGAGGGGGGAGGGGGTGGAGGGTGGAAAAGAGGAGGGTACAAGAGCGGGAGATGACTGTGAGTGGGGCTCGGCGAGCAGAGAAAACCTCACAGGCAGCCTCTTTTCTTGGTGAGTGGTGCATAGCATTGGGAGTTGTGCTGTGTATTGGGTGCTCTTATCATAGACAGATTGAGGGGCGTCCACCCACCTTGGGTATTCTGTCGAGGCACAGCAGAGCGGACCTCACCCCCAGCGCCTCAGTGCTCCCTCAGCTCCCAGCGCCTCAGTGCTGTGTACTGTGCAGTGCATTGAGGGCCGTCCACCCACCTTGGGCATTCTGTCGAGGCACAGCAGAGCGGATCTCTTTTGAGGCGCCTCAAAAGTGCTCTTATCACAGACAGATTGAGGGGCGTCCACCCACCTTGGGTATTCTGTCGAGGCACAGCAGAGCGGATCTCTTTTGAGGCGCCTCAAAAGTGCTCTTATCACAGACAGATTGAGGGGCGTCCACCCACCTTGGGTATTCTGTCGAGGCACAGCAGAGCGGATCTCTTTTGAGGCGCCTCAAAAGTGCTCTTATCACAGACAGATTGAGGGGCGTCCACCCACCTTGGGTATTCTGTCGAGGCACAGCAGAGCGGATCTCTTTTGAGGCGCCTCAAAAGTGCTCTTATCACAGACAGATTGAGGGGCGTCCACCCACCTTGGGTATTCTGTCGAGGCACAGCAGGGCCGACCGCACACCCAGCGCCTCAGCGCTGACTCTCAGCTCCCTGAGCTCAGTCACTGAGGGTAGGCGTCCCTTGGTGAGGGAGGGATGCAATGCGGGCACTGTACTGTGTGCTGTTACCACAGGGAGACTCAGGCCCACCCATTCCCACACCCACCTTGGGTATTCTGTCGAGGCACAGCAGTGCCGATCTCACACCCAGCGCCTCAGCGCTCACTCTCAGCTCCCTGAGCTCGGTCACTGAAGGTAGCCGCCCCTTGGCGAGTGAGGGGCGCATGTGCTGTGCATTGGGTGCTGTGCGTGTGTTGTGTGTGTGCTGTGTGTTGTGTGTGTGCTGTGTGTGTGTTGTGTGTGTGTTGTGTGTTGTGTGTGTGCTGTGTGTTGTGTGTGTGCTGTGTGTGTGTTGTGTGTGTGTTGTGTGTTGTGTGCTGTGTGTGTGTTGTGTTGTGTGTGTACTGTGTACTGTGCAGTGCATTGGGGGGGCTGAAACCCACCTTGGGTATTCTGTCGAGGCACAGTAGAGCAGACCGCACGCCCAGCGCCTCAGCGCTCACTCTCAGCTCCCTGAGCTCAGTCACGGACGGCAGGCGCCCCTTGGTGAGCGGGCGCAGGCAGGAGCGGTAGCGCAGGTGCAGGATGCGCACTGCCTTCTCCAGCACGTCCAGCTCCACACTGTCCAGTTGCGACCTCCCCCCACCCCGCCCGTTCTCTGCTCGTGTGGGCGGGTAGGCGTGGGAGGGGAGTGGTGGGGGCGTGGGGTGGGGGTGAGGGGGAAGAGGAGTGTGGGTGACACAGGTAAGAGGGATGCAGGTTAAGAGGGGAAGGGGCATGGGGTTGAGTGGGGTTGGGGAGGAACAGGTGAACGGAGGGGTGAGCGGCCGCAGGCAGGAGCGGTAGCGCAGGTGCAGGATGCGCACTGCCTTCTCCAGCACGTCCAGCTGTCCAGTTGCGACCTCCCCCCGCCCCGCCCGTTCTCTGCTTCAAGGGGGGTGGGGGCGTGGGAGGGGAGAGGTGGGGGCGTGGGGCCGAGGGCGAATGGGGGAAAGGGGCGCGGGTGGAAGGGGGAAATTGGGGGGCGGACGTGGGAGGGGAAAAGTGGGGGGTCGTCGGGGTGGGGAAAAGGGGGGTGGAGGAAAAGGGTGTGCGGGTTAGAGGAAGGGAAAGAAGGGTAGGGGGGAGGCGGGGACGGGGAGAGAGGGGGCGGGGAGGGCGCAGGGGGTATGCGGAGAGAGAGGGGAGGGGGACGGGGGAGTGAACGGCAGGTGGAATGAGAGGCAGGTAGAAGCGGGCGGGAGGCAAATGCAATTTACGCACTGCCTTTCCTGCGGACCACCCCTTGTGTGATGCACCTTCTAACCCTAATTGTACGTACTTCCTAACCTAACTCTCCACGTACCCCATAATCTCAACTCCACGTATCTCCTAACCCGTAATCCACGTACTTCCTTATCTTAACGCTCCATACCTCCTCCCATTCCTTACTATACATACCTTGTAAACCTAAATCAGGTAACTTGTCACCCTAATTCCACACAACCCCTCCTAACCCTAACTTCACGTACTCCCCCCTCTTCCCCCCAACCACATACCTCGTAACCCTAACTCAACGTACCTCCCAAACCCAACTCCACGTACCTCCTTCCGGTTCTTCCACTTGTTCTGGGTCATGCAATTGCGTGAACAGAGCATGTAGACAGCTTAGCATCCGGACACGTGGCAGCCCGTCCCCTTCCCCTTTCCCCGTTTTTCCGGGGCTGTATGCTGACATGGCAGCCGTTACAGCACCCAATGCCAAATGCGCAATCCCAAGAGGCGCTCCCAACTGTCCCGAACGTGCTACCGTGCCTATAGGCTCGGCAAGATTTGCCCCGTTGACTCGAGGCTCGGGAAACCATGGCCTTTCCGTCTCTGTGTCGCTGCTGTCTGATTGGTCCGCGTCTCCCATCCTCGTCTGGTGCTTATATCGGAACCCGGCGCTCGGCCTGGCTGAAACACTATTTGCCTGCAAGCGTTACTATACGCTTATTAATGCCTAAGAGAATGGTGAGGGGTTCCAACGATTATGATTACTGATATATCGAAACCAGACGATTGAGCCAATAAATACTGCCTTGCTGCTGCGCGCTGCTGCTGCTGCCAACGTTGCCCTCTGTTGCGAACCCTACTGCCCTAATTGCTGATAGCGATAACGTGGCGATTGTTACTGCACTGAGTTGAGTAGGTCTGAGTGTACCGAACGCCTAAACGGAGTGACGCACGACGACATCGAGTGTAGCCTACTAGCTCCATAACGAGACCGCTGCTGCCAGTGGAAGTCAGGCCTACGTGTTTTCCTTAACGCGTATCTAGGGCCAGGAGACTGTCATTATCGCGGATGTGGCCGTACGGGATTGAGGATGCTGCAGTGGTGAATGGTGAGCTTTGCACGAAAGTCTTGAATGCGATACGTGCGCCTGATACGCAGCCGTACATGACGCCATCGGTGCTCACGTGCCACCATCATGATGACGTGGCATCGTCACGATGATGTGGCAGCATTATGCAATGCCGAGCTGGCAAGACAATGCCGAACAGGAACCGGTGGAAGAAACCAATCCGGCCTATAAGCGAAGGAACCCCAGTGTGCTGCGATGTCCCCCCTAAGGGCGTACTCGTTTAAGAGTTCTCGGGCCACAGGCGGTGTACGACGAATGAAGTCCCCTGTGGGATCCACGACAGGACAAAAGACGCATGGGAACAGGGGCCCTGGGTGTGTAAGCTGAGCCTTCATAGCAGGGCGTTTTCTAGCTAAAATACGGACAAATGTTTCAGAAAATAAGTGGGGGAAGCGGATCAAGAAGAAAGAAAGCGACAGCCGGGCTGACGATGAAACCATGAGGAAGCGGAAGATGAAGAATTGGCGGGCCAATGAGACGGCGATACAGCAAACCGCACGACAGCGTCAAGCCTTCGCAAAACACGCAAAAGCGTACCTGCGTGAAAAGGCGTCGCTATGAAGTACTCTCAAACCGGCGCACTCAAAAGAGCGGAGCGATACGTTCAGTCCGGGACGCGCACTCACGTACTCTCCCTATACATTGTTAGGGTTTGTACTGATACGCGACGTGGTCAATGTGTGTTATGAGTAAGGAGGCCAGAAGCTTCCAATTGGATAACGAGAAATCAGGGACGAATAGTCAGTCGAGTGACTTGAGAGCTTCGAGGATACAGCAAGAGCGACCGAATAGCTGGATTAGGTTGGATTGGGAGGACGAAGACAGAAATGGATACTGTTGGTTCCGCCATTGACGAGAACAGCGGAAAGATTTGAGGGGGGAGCACCAGGAGGAGACGAGGAAGGTTGTGGTATGGTGCTGGTCTGCGCGGTTGCGAGAAAAAAATAGAGCGTGGGGGAAGAGCCTCGGTGAAAGTGAAGGCTCGGAAACTCGCGAGCGACTGGACGGGGAAGCGGCGGAAGCAGGCAATGGGGTGGGGAGGGATTGGGGGAAGGTCACGCACGAGTGGTTGAAAGGCAGGTTTGGGGGAGAGAAGTCTGCAGTGAACTATTCTCGAGGTGCTGTCCCTCGAGAATATCCGTTCGGCATTTTTGAGGCGTCTGTTCGAAGTGCCTCTCTTGCCACGTCGAACGTTTGACCACAAGTCATTCCAGTTTCTGCCTTCAGAGTTAGGAGCATATTTACAATTTCAACACTGTCTACAATCGTGGCAACCAGGCTCTAGCAGCCGAAGTGGAAATTTACATCAGCTCCTCGCATTTTTGCGACGGGTTTTGTATGACGGAGCAATGGGGACTTACATAAGCTCGTCGCATTTCGCATTATTGCGCACTAGGTTTGGAAGAGCGGGTGGTTTGGAAGTGATAGGAGGGGGGGCGGCGTGGTGTTGCGCATTGCGATATTATGCAATAGTAACGCTTTGCGAACATATGAGAAAGTGGTCTGCGCCTGTCACAAGTGCCAGTTCTTCACGAAGCAGCAGCTTCCTCACGAAGAGTAACAGCAGCCATCTCGTCGCTGTCAGTTGGATAGGACGGGGAGGATCCCCAACAGCTTCTCGCCAGACACTACACGACAATACTGTGAGAACATGCTTCGGTTGTGTTGTGCCGTTGCTTTCTGTATAGTTCCTCACCCCCTTGCTTATCTATCTTGGGAAATACCATACTTGGAAATGGATCTATCACATTTGCATCTTAACGGCTTATATCGCCTTATCAGTCTTCAGACGTTTCTCATCAATAATCACTTGTTTATTCCATTTTATTAAATATATTTTTAGAACTAGAAGTTTAATATAAATGCCTATGTATTTACTTAGATCATACAGCCAGGTCCGGCATGTAGTGACATAGCTCGGCTTATAATTGTTACGTATACAAGATGTAGTGCGGTTTGCCGCCAATTGGATGGAGACAGACAACTGCCTCAAACCTGGGAAGCCTTCGCAGGAAGGAACGTGGACAGAACAAACACGAATCATCGCGCTCCTGCTGTGTCACTCACGTGGCTGACCAGACACCTGGAAGTGTACCCGCTTCTGCCACGTGGTCATGATAGTTCACTCAAACCGTCTATTCCCCTTCAATAGATCTGGTGACGTGGTTCTTGACAGCTCAGCGTCGCGCTACCTGCGGTTGTATGTTCATCTCCTTTCACCTGTTTCTGTCGCTCATTTCTGGGTGATCATTATCCTTCGATAGTTTACTTGCTTTAGAAGACAATCGTTCGCTCATCTTGTGACACACATATAGTCTTCTCTCCTCCCGACACTCTTTTACCAGCTTGGTAGTAGAATTTCTCCCTCGCATTGCTGAATTTCTGTTTTCAAAATACTCTTCTACCAGTAGCTGTGTCCTCCACAATACCGTCTCTCTTTCGACGCCATCACCTAAACATTTACTCATACGCCATGGCCGCTACCTCACTCCAGTGCAAGCTCTCGCTTGGATCTCTCGTGAAGGCCGACGTGTCATCCCTCCGACAAGGGCCCACTGTCGTGTCATTTCCCCAAAGAGTAAGCTTCTGCGTTCCCTGGTCATAGTCGTTACTCCAGGGGAGAGCTTAGTCCGAAGCTTGGTATGCTCAAGGTTGGATAGCTGTAGTTCAGGGTTATTGTGATTAACTAAACTGTGTTACATCTTACTGACATTGCAGAGAGTAACTGTGCGTGCGGACCGCAATGACTTTACCGGCTATGTGGAGAAGGACACTGCCGGCCAGGAGAACATCTACGCCGTTGAGGTGAGAATCAAAGGCGCACGCTTTGTCATTCTCAGTTGTGGCGACGAATCACAATTGGACAATGGCAATGGAACTAGTACTTGTCAGTAATGTCGATGGCACTGGATTGAAAAGAGTCAGTCCAATTCAGTATTGCAATGGTGCAATCGGTATCTCCAATTAATGTATTCTTTCGTTTATGCATGTACTTTGTCTGCAGCCTACCGTCTATGTGGGCAACTCCGGCAGCTCCGGTGTGGTCCTGAACGTTGTCGGCGCTGCTGCTGCCCTGGCCGGTGCAGCAGCCGTGCTATTTGCTCTCGGTGGATCAGACCCCGCACCTCAAGAACAGGCATATTCCGGGCCTCCTCTTTCCTCCTACGTTCGGAAATTCGAGGCGGAGCTGGCACCAGCTCCCGTGCAGGCTCCCGCGGTTGTTGATGAGGTTGTCGAGGCTGCTCCTGCTGCTGACGAGTGAAAAACGGCTACCGGTACTTACGGATTTTTAGGTGGAGTGACGAAATGAAGGTGAAGTTAATGCTACAAAACAGCAGAAGGAGATTTCACATTTTTGTATTTTTAGGTTTGTCACGTTCCCCTTCACGTTAGGAAACTTCTCTGGTTTGTTACTGTGATTTCTTAATAAACGGTTTGATACCCAATGTGGCTTTGCGAATGTGATCAGAGATTGTGTAAATCCTTTTCCTCTGACCCCACCTCTTGCATATCCATCCCTCTTTCACCTTGTTCCTTCGTTTTCACTCTGTAAACAACTGTCACCCTCTTCCAATAAAGTATCTCTTCCTTTTTCCCTGCTCCGTCTTTTATCTCTGCTCACCCAATCCCCAAGTACCACATTCTCCCGGACATAACACCTAGGGTATAGCTAAAAATACAGGGAAAAAATGGGGGGGGGGGTCTCCTCATAGGAAAAAAAAAACATAATACCCGGGTCTTTACATGTGGCATATTTTACTGTTAGTGTTTTTTTTTTGTTAGTCAATGTGGGTGTTTTGCTGGTCGTTTTAGCATCACTGCCTGACTCGCAAATGTGAGTTTCTTTGAGTTAGACATTCACACGATATTCTTCCGTATTGCAACTACTCGTTAACGACTAAAATAATGAATCCGTAAGAAAAGGGGGGTGTTATAGAAAATCAGCCAAAAAGGGGGGTATATAGTAGAAACGAGGTCTATCATAACACCCACCCCGCACAAGCTACCCGGGGGTGTACAATTATGGGGGGGTGTTTTGTCCGGGAGAATACGGTACATGACTTCAGTGAGAAAGCTACCGCACATATTGGAACCAGACGAGACAGTACTACTTCTTACAATGCCACATGCAACAAGGGAATACTGTACCTAGGCTGACACTGGTAGCTATTAGTGATGGACAAGCCTAACCCAATACACAGCCACTGTGCAACACTACTGGTGATATAACAGGCCATTGTTGTCGAGGACACA